TGTCCGCTGCCCACATCGACCAAGGAAATTTAAACTGAACATTCCTGTGAATGCGGGTAACACGTACAGGTCCGTAAAAGTTTTGGTGGTTAAAATCGTTATCTCAGAAACCGCGGAGGCTGGGAAATTGAAATTTTATGAATATGCCCCTTGACCACGCGTGACTCAGAAAACTTAAATTCAATCTTCCTGTACGCATGGGTAACGCGTACGGCTGGGTGAAATTTTTGGCAGAAAATTATCCCGGGAACCATGAAAGTTAGGAAGTTGGAATTTTAGGACGACGTCTTCTGTCAGCGCAGGTACCTCATAAACTCAAATTTAGCTCCCAAGTATGTAGAGGTCTTACTTATGACCACGTGAGAATTTTGATGCGAAAGTTACTAGCTCGGAAGCCGGAAAACTAGAAGGTTGAAACTTGGAAGGATGTTCCCCATCCATGTTTTCAAATTTAACTTTCACGTAGTGGCACGTAAAAGTTTCGGTGGGAAATTCCTCATCTTAGGAGCCAAACAGCATATCTATTTTTTTTTCCATATACAAAAGTGTAAAACAGTTATATTTTTAGTAAACAAACGTCCGATGGACGGAGTTGGGTAAAACGCATGATCTCACCGGCTACCCTGGGGCGCGCCACTATTTGTTATCATCTGAATTTATAAGCTGGCCAGACTTTAGATCTCATTTCACAGACTGAAAGCTAATTTTCAATCGGAATGCATCAGTGGACTAAATTTTCGCACTTCTAATTTCGTGGCTTACTCGTTCACGGGTCTTGAATCTGGTATGAATCATGAACTGCGATTATAGGTCAGGATGCACAAAGAAATGGAGTTTGACCTGAGGCCTGTAACATGACACGCTCCAGACCTAGCGCGTTCCGGAAGTTACACTTCTCTAGTTTTCGTACATATTTTAGCTTTGGCTTAAAAGCAAATACATTTACATACAAACATGCATGCATGCACATACAGATAAAAAAAACCCTACCGTAATGCGTTTACTAGCAGATACGGTGCAAAGATGCATAAAAATGTTGCTAAACTAAATATGCC